CCTGTCATCCGTGCTTATGTGTCTTCCGCTGTTTTTCCTCTGCAGCAGTTACTTCTCCCTGGACCATGTTCTAGAATTTATTTGCTTAGTTTATTGTTTGCCAGTCACTAGACTGTGGTTCTGGGAGGGTTGGGATTATCTGCCTTATTCACCCTTGCCTCCCCAGGGCCCCAAACAATGCCTGGCACACAGGAGTTGTTCAATACATAGGGGTTAATTCATTAAAACAAACAAACAAACAAACAAACAGATGAACGTAGGGTATAAGGAAGGTAAAAAGAAACAGCAAACTGTGACAGGTAAAAACATGATGGATAAAGGGTTAATCGGCTTCATGCAGAAGGAGCGTGTGCAAGTCAATAAGGAAGCAGCAAATAGCCCAAGAGGAGGCGAAGCAAAGGGAATACACACGTAATTGGCAAAAGAAGGAGCCACTGGTGGCCAGAAAACAGGGAGAGGTTCTCAGGCTTACCGAGAACCAGAGGTAGGAAAATGCCACTCGGGCGGCATGTCTGTGGCACAGCTCAGGTTGACGTGATGTACAAGTCTGACAGGCCTGGAAGGGAGCAGCAAGGCTCCCCACCACTAGCGGGTGGTGTAGACGGAGGAGACTTGAAAACGCAGGCACTTTGACACCCGGCCTCATGCTGGACAGCGGCCTGGGTTGCCGGCCCCGCTTCGCAGGTGCAGGCACTTGAGGACCAGAGGGGACAGCGAGTCCCCCTGGGGTCCCACAGGGAGAGGAGGTGCCGAAGCCGGGCCCGTCTGAACCCCGGGGTTCCCCGACACCCTGTGGAATCAGGACCGGGTCTCTGGGGCCCTGGCAGGAATTCTGGGGTGGGCAGACAGGGAGGGGTCAGGCACCCCGATACCCTGGCCAACTGGGGATTTTGAATCACAGTCCTGACTGGGGGACCCGGAGCGAGTGTCAGCCTTTTGGAGCCTCGTTTCCTCACCCGAAGAACGGGGGAAATCGGACTTGCCAGGTTGGGTTTCTGTGGGCATTAAGACAGGCAATGCCTGTGTGTCAAAGGCGAGAAATGAGGCCTGGGACAAAGCAAGTGCCCAGTAAATGGAAACAGGCCCGCAGCTGTCCCCTCTCCCCTCCACCACGTGGGGTGGAAACTCTGAGTCTGCCCCACAGCTGTGTTCCAAAGTGCTGGATGCTGCCCTCTCAGGAGACAGGGCGGACCGTCCCCACCCCTGCGTGTCCCCCGGGCCCAGGCTGCCAGCTGGCTCCCCGCCCCGTCACAGGGGCAGTGGAAAAATACTCAGGCCAGAGGGACACTCTGGCCCCACTGGGCAAGTCGGTGCCCCTCTCTGGGCCTCTCGCCCTGTTCCCCACCCAGGGCTGAGATGCGGGTGTGAAATGATCCTACGGGGTGGGCGACTTTAAAGCTTTGCGTGTCACGGGCCCTCCGGAGCCAGCCAGCACGCATGAGGGGTGGCAGTTTTAACTCCATTTGTCAGATGGGAAAACTGAGGCTAGGGGAGGGAAGCCATGCCCCCAAGGTCACCCAACCGGGAAAGGACTAGACTCTGGGTTCGTCTCAGTCCTGAGGGACAGACAGACGTGCAGAGGAGAGAGCGGAGAGGAACAAGAAAGGCAGGGAGAAGGAACGACAGACAGACAGATGGACGCAGAGACACAGGGAGCTACAGAAACACTGTTACCAGTTGAACCGTGCCCTCCTAGAACATCTATGTTGATGCCCACCCCCCCCCAGGCCCTCAGACACTTTGGAGACGGGGTCCTTGGAGAGGAGACAAGAACGAGGTCCAACGTTAGGGTGGACCCTAACCAAGGACTGGTGTCCTCACAAAGAGGAAACCGGACACATAAACCCAGAGGCAGAGGGATCGTGCAGAGGGCCGTGAGGGCTCTGGGGTGTGGGGGACCAGGGCGGGGCTGGGGGGGCGTGGTGGAGCTGGCTGCCTGGCTCCTCAGAGACCCCCATCTCTCCCCTCGTAGGCTATGCCTGGGCCTCTCTTGCCCCGGCAACGGAGGCCTCAGCCTGGGGGAGCCAGGCTCTGCTCCCCTGTTCACACACCCCTCGTTCCCCCTCATTCCCAGGCAGACTCCACTCGGAGCCAGAGTATTTTTAGCTGGGGTTCCTCGGAGAGGAGGCCTGGGGGCCTTGACACAGGCTTGTCTGGCTGGGCAGGGTCTGTGTGGCTGGGGACAGATGAGAAACCCCTCGACAGTTCGCACACCCCCCCCCCCCCCTTTGCCAGCCATTGTTCTTTCTCAGAGAGGGTAACGACCATTCCCAGGGGGAGGAGGAGGGGGGCGCGTGGCTGGGGAGACCGGAAGACACGTTTAATGATCGGCACAACACCCCCAGGGAGAAATTCTTCTTGTCCCCACAGCCCTCTTGAGCTCAAGCACACTCTATAGCTCCCCACTTAGGCAGCACCAAGCCCGGGCTCCCCTAAGGCCCCCACCATCGGGCTCTGGTCCCCCCCCCCCCCCACTTGGGAAACATCTCACCCCCTACTGTTCCAGCAGGAAACCCCCATCCTTGTATGGTCTCCAGAACCTGCTGGATTCATTCCCACCTCCACTCCTTTGCACCTGCATCTGCCTGAGATGTCCTGCTCCTCCTGACCCGCCCCTCGCGCCTCCAGCCCTCCCCGGCATGTGCCATGTTCTCCAAGCCCCGCTGAAATCGCCTATGCTGTTCCCTCTACCTGGAATAGCCTTCCTCGGATCTGGCTCCCTCCTCAGAGGGGTCTTCCCTGACCCCCCCCTCCCCGTTCCCTCGCCACCCTACCGCCCTGTCCCGCTATCTCCCCGGCACTTCCCTCTCTCTCCAGCCACTGTGTTCATTTACTCGTTTATTTGCTTGCTGCATACGCCTGTCTCCCCACCAGTCTGGGCCCCATGTGTCTTGCTCAGTTCTGTGAACACACACCCTCAGTACATATTTGGAGAAATAATATCGGGCCATAAAAGCTGAGCGATTCCCAGCCTGCTCTGGAACCGTGGATGGTACGAATTTCATCAGCGGCTAAGACGTTCACTTCACCTGGAAACCCGCTGAACACGTGTAGGAGAGTTGCACAGGGTTCCCGGAACAGTTCTTATGGTCACTGTGTAGGACACGTGCCAGTATTTTCTTTTCTTTTCTTTTCTTTTCTTTTTATCCTAGCCTATCCTATCCTATCCTATCCCATCCCATTCCATTCCATCCCATCGCAAGAAAATTCTGGTTACAGCCTTTCGATTTCATAACCCACTACTGGGTTATGACAATACAGCCCCCAAGAGAAGGTTCTCAAATTCTTGCTGCAGAGGTCCCTGAACCTTCCTGGTCCTGCCCCTCCCTTCTCATAACAGAGCCACAAGGAACGCTCCAGTCCCACGACCCCTGGTGGGTGAGTCCCCCCCTGCAATGCCTCCCCAAGAGGACTTCTTGACCTCCTCGGGGCTCCTCCCTGTTGGCACCGGGCCTGCCTGAGGCTGGGGCTGCACAGGGTGCCCCTCTGCCTGTCCCCATGGCTCACGCCCTCCCCCCAGAGGCATGACCCGAGCGGAGGGGGCAGGGAGGCAGGCGGCTGCTGCTGCAGTCGGCCTGAAGAATCAGGAGGCATTCTCGGCTCCTCTGGCCCCCGCACCGACCCTCTCCCTGGATGACCAGGGTCCTAACTGCCATTGCCGCACCACTGCGATGAGCAGGCGCTGTGTCCAGGTACACGGTGTCCCCACGCAGTGGAGATTCCGTTCGCGTTTGCCAGATGGGGAGGCTGAGTCTCCGTGAAGGGCACGCCCCAGACCTCACAACTCGGAAGGGGCTGACAGGGGGTCTGAACGTGAGCAGTCACTTTCAAAGGGACAGAAGGCGGACAAGGCAGCCAGCTTTGGGGTCTCTTCCCTTCTCCAGGCCTCAGTTTCCCCTGGTGAAAAAGGAAGCCCGGATGTGGTGACCTCAAAGGTCGTGTCCAGATCCGACCTTGGCTGGTCTTGCCTGGGCCACCCCACAGGGATCTAGGCAGAGCTGGCACGTCTGGGGCACCACGACCCACACCCCAACCTGGTCTTCTGGTCTGGTCTTTACTCTTCCTTCTCATCCCCACTCTCTCAGGCTGATGGAGACGGGGCTCCGGGGGTCTGGAAGCTGACCCGCTGGGTCTGGGGGCCTGGGCTGCCTTCCCCGGAGGGTTTCCATATTTGGTATGATGGGGGCTCCTTTCCTCAGTGAAATCCTGCTGGGAAAGCCAGCAGATTCCTAAAAGGGTTGCTCTGGCTGAAACAAGAGCAGAGAGGCTGGCTCTGGTGCCCCTGACTTCTCCCAGATCCGCCACCCCCCTGCCGCCACCGCCCCGGGTCACCTGGGCCTCTCCTGAGCTGCGAAACACCACATTCGCCCAAAGTTAACGGTGCCATTTCAGGCGCGGCCTATGGGGAAGATATTCTGAGCCAGTGGCTAGTATTTGCTGGGGCCTCGGCGCGAGATGGGCCTAGTCTAGGGGAGGGGCTGAAACCCTCTAAAAACTCCAAGACAACACAACACAGACTCTGGAATCCTCCGGCTCTGAATTCCACGCCCCGCTCTCCAGCTGGGGGACCGTCAGAAGGGAGCAGACCGCTCCCAGCCTCAGCCTCCCCAGCTGCAACACGGGCCTGGTGGAGTCGTCTGGGGGTAACAGACGAGGCGAGGCAGACAGGTTAGCAAGCGATGCACAAGGAACGCACACCGCTATTGCCGCTGCAGCCCCAGGGCTTGTGAACTTGGGGGGGGGGGCGGTAGTTACGAGCCCTCCCTGCGCTTCGGTTTCCTCGGCTGCGAATCGGCGCTGATGGCGGTACCTACCTCGTACGCAGCGCCCCTGCGCGTGGACGTACACCAGCGGGAGCGCGCTAAGGTGCTTTAATCACTGCCTGGCACCAAGCGAATTATTCACTAGACGCTAGAAATCGCTTACGACTGTTCTAAGGACTGTGACCGTGCGCTCCGAGCCCCGGAGGGCAGCCACCCTGCGCCCGGGGCCCGTCTTACCCGGGCGGGATGGAGGCGCGTGCGCTCACGCCGGTGGCGCGCTGGGGCCCGGGCCGGTTGAGGTTGTTCTGC